GGAAGCGAAATCGTGCCAAATCTGGTAACCTCTTGGCTTAAATACGAATCAATGCTTTTCGATCATTTATTGCTCATTTACTGCATTACAATTTTTTAAATTTCGTGATAAAACGCTTTACTCCATTTTGCTACTGTCTTAAAAATGATACAGTACAAAGTCTGTAATCCGGACATCCATTATCCGGAATGATCTATAATTCAGACTTCAAAGCCCCAAACATTTTTTTGTATGCTTTACGCATACACGTTTAATGCTACGCATGCGCGTTTAATGTTTACGCATGCGCATTTAGCACAAAAAACGAAGCAACTTAAACAACTTACATTGAATGAAATGTTTAATAAAGGTAAACAAATAAATATTAAGCTTTTTTTGTGTGTGTAGTAAATTTTGATCATAATTGCTCTTTATTTCATAAATTACGGTTTCATATTTTTAATTGTATAATTTCTGCATGCCATCTTACCAGATTTAAATTGATGATCTATAATCCGGAAATACACTTAATCCGGAATCGCCGAAGTCCCGACGAGTCCGAATTACGGACTTTGTACTGCATACGATATTATGAAAACTTTTAATATTGTTGATCCTATAAAATACATAGTTTACTTTCAAATACTTTAGGTAAAGTGCAGAATCGCCCACTTATTTGTTTGGCGTTTGCAAGAGTACGAAGACGTGGATTTCTGTTAATTTTTTTTTTTTTTTTTTTCACTTTTTAAGTGAAACTAGGTCGATATGTACATGAATAAAGCCAAGGAAGTGCGCAATGCCATTTTTGTGCAATTCAGGAATGATTTTTTTAAGTGAAAATCGGTCGATGTGTACATGGATACCCAATATGTGTAATTTTTAAAAACGCGCCAAGCAGTGGGTGATTCTGCACTTTCCCCATTTTTTCGTTGTTTTTCTTGAAGTCCTGTTTTAGATATTTTTGCACGTTTACAGAATTAATTCAAATTCGCAACCATCTAATATGGCGATATGATGAGTTAGGGATTTTGGTGCTACTTTGGTACGGTTGCAAGGACTTTTGCAATTTTTCTTTTGGCGAGTAATACTTATGGTAAACCCGTTGCTGGTTATGTTATTTATAGTAACCGCTACTTTGTTGTCATTTTATTTTAAAAATAATGCGTTTTATTATGCATAAATTCCATGTTTTAAATATTATTTATGGGTTCTAAATATTAAAAATCAATTTAATTTTGCATTTTTATTTGAAATAAAATTTTTTTTTGTTTATCATATTCTATGAAATTTTATGTTGTGGATGATGTAATCAATGACGTCACCTTACTTTAAAAGTAATTTGTTTTAATATGTATAAATTTAATCTAATGTTTTAAACATTATTTATGGCTGCTAAATATAAAAATACAATTTAATTTTGCATTTTTTTTTTTTTGAAAAATGATCTATTATGTATGGTTATTTAAATAATTTTAATTCTAGGCGTGATGTAATCAGCTCTCTGATTGGTTATAGAATATTTGTGCATTAATGAGCTGTAATCAGCTCCCTGATTGGTTACTGAAAATTTGTGCATTACCGCACCATTTTAAAACTTAATTCATATCTTCCAGTTCTTTCATCAGATAGTTCTCAGCAAAAAACTGAATCTAACAGTTTTTGAAATAAAATTATGTTTTCACTACACTAATTGACAGAAACGAGTTTAGCATTAAATTATTTGAAAACCTGTCAATTCTTTGAAACCTGCCAATTAATAAATTAATAGAGGGTTTATCAAATTTAAAACTGATATGAGAAATACACTCTTTTGCAAAAAAAATCGAAGCACCATGAAGGAAGTGGTTGTTTTTGATGAAACTGAATATCTATATAGCTCATACACAGATAATAAAATGATTAAAAAATTAAGGTCATAGTACCTGTTCACGGCTCACATTATCAAATTAGTAGTTGGTTGAACTGCCCTGGCCGCAATGCATGCTTGAATTCATCAAGGCAAGGACAGGTAGAGGTTCCTAATGTCATCCTGCAACACATTCTGCCAGGCATTCATCAGTTGTCACTCCAGATCTGCGATATTTTGTGGTGCCCAAATCTCGCGGCCTACCATGCCCCAGACATGCTTGATTGGTGAAAGGTCTGGTGACCTTGCTGACCAAGGAAGAGTATCAACCGCACGGAGGCAGTCCAGAGATATGTGAGCGGTATATGGCCTGGCCATTATCTTGTTGGGAAATGGACCTAGGATGATGTGCCATGAAGGGTAATGCAGCGGACGATATGCAGGGTAAGACTGCAGGATGGTATCAACATATTGTTGAGTTGTTAAAGATGTACTGAAGATGACCTGGTGTCGTAAGAAATAGTGTTCCACACCATCACACCAGGGGTTATGGCTGTATGCCTTTGTAAAACAAAGACTGAATGGGACCGCTGGCTCCATCTTCTTCAGACACAAACACGGTGGTAATCTGCTTCAAGAGTGAAGCGGGATTCATCACTGAACACTATACGATGCCAGTCTGATGGCAGCCATGGTAATCGGCTGGAACACCATTCCATTTGTGCTCCTTGGCCTTCATTTCATCAGCAATTTCCTTGTAGCAAACATTGCTGCCAACATCTTTGCACAGCAGTGTCTGTATGCTGCAGGTGGCGACATATTGCTCGGTATGACCACCCGGCTTCACGTAACCCTACAATGCGACTACGTTCGAAGTCGTTTGGTTGTCTGTAAGGTCTTCGATATCATTGTAATGGCATCTTTAGTTGCTTCTTTACGGAATTACAATGACAGCAACAAAAAAAGGTAAATTTCCCGCCTCTGTTACAGGTTTTATACTTTGCGAATTGCACACTAGAAATTCGCGCTTTGATCGCAATTCCTGTTCATTTGCCTTGAAACTCTGATCATTTGCATGTTTGATCAAGCTATTTTTGCAAACTAAATTTCATCACGATCGCAAAAGTCCTTCTTGATGCTTCGATTTTTTGCAAAAGAGTGTATCAGCATGTTTAAACTACCAGTACAGTCAAAAGTCGTTAATCCGGACTTGTCGGGATCTATAATCCGGAAAAATCGATTTTTCCGGATTATAGATCATCAGTTTAAATCTCGTAAGATGGCATGCAGAAATTCTAAAATTAAAAATATGAAACCGTAATTTTATGAAATAAAGAACAATTATGGGCTAATCTTTGGAATATAGTAACAGGTAGTTTGGCGACATTTTGGTAAGGCGATAAAAGTTAGAAGCTAGGACTTTAGTAGCGTACATGGATAAAGTCAAAAGTGTGCACAATGCCATTTTTGTGCAATTCTGGGATTTTTTTTTTAAGTGAAAATAGGTCAACATGTACATGGATGATACCGTGTATGTGCAAATCTTAAAAACGCAGCAAGCAGTTTGCGATTCTGCACTTTCTCCCAATTTCGCAGCTAATCTTTGTCATGATTAAGCATTTTTGTTCCATAAAAGTTCTAGTATAAGCGTAATTCGGCTAGCAGATTGTTGGAAAAAATGTTGAGTAAAAAAAAACATGCCTTTACTTCGTGAAAACAAAATGGCGTCCATAACAAAACTAGCAGTTTGCTGTAGCAGGGTTGGTTGCCAAATTTTCGCCAAGTTACCATAATCTAAAGATTAACCTAATTATGATCTAAAGGGGATCAAAATTTACAAAAAAAAAAAAAAAGTTTAATATTTATTTGTTTACTTTATTAAACATTTCTTTCAATGTAAGTTGTTTAAGTTGCTTCATTTTATGTGATAATACTTTCTCTTTAATTCTATAAACAGACATAATTTCTTGTTCAGTTACAAAGTTCCGCTGTTCAAGGCCCGCATTTGCTGTGTCGAGAATACCGACTAACTTGTCAATCGAAATTTTTTCGTTTTCACTAACCTCTCTGTCACCTTCTTCATGTCTTTATCCATTTTTTGCAGCAATTCCACTTTTTGTTTGATGGACATCGAAAAATACTTTCGTTTTGTAGATCCTTTGGGAGCTCCAGCATTGGAAATTCTATTTGACATAATCGAAAGTTCAAGTTTACTTTTATAAAATTGCTCTTACAGTCTGCAAAAAATAATAAGCCTGATCCAATTCGAAGATTAAGGAACAACGCAATCATCAACATTAACTGAAATAGATAATTAGATAATTTTAGCTTATACCGTGCCTTATACATAAAACGCGCACGCAAAAACATATTCTGCACTTGCACACACGCATATGCACAGTCATAAAGGTCTTACGCGCACGCGTAAACGCCTATGCGCATGTGTCAACTCGGCGCATGCGCAGGAAGTTTTTAGCTTTGAGGTCCGAATTATAGATCATTCCGGATTACGGGTGTCCGAATTAACAACTTTTGACTGTATATTAAAATATTCTTCACAGCAAAATTTTTATCTATATTCTTGACTTTTATATTTATACTCTTTGTTTCAAATAGAATATTTTTATTTGACAGATATTACATCTAGATGGGCTTTTAACATACATCTAATTTATTTAAGCACTCATAACGGTAAAATCCTAGTATACGGTGCAGCCTTGGCGCGATTTTGAAAATTATCGCCAGCACCAAAAATGACCCAAAAAACGTCTATGTATATCTATGTATAACTATATATATTCTTTGAATGACCCGTTTACTACTACTCATCATATACGTTTCGTTTTTACTGCTCATCATAGTCACCAAAAGTAGCCAAATCCCGTATGCACCGGATACTAGGATTAAACCCTCATAACATATCTTCCTTAGTTTCAAAACTAGTTCAAAAAACATAAAATGACAGAAATTTTGGTATTTTTCTGTTATCGGGACCAGATTCAGAAATGTATGCATGTGTGCGAGCATACGTACATACATAAATGTATATATGCAATTCCAAATCCAGTCCCAATACAAGAAAAGTTCAGAATTTTTTTTATATGACAGATCTATAATGGCCCAAAAATACAACTAGCATATAATCACTTAATTTTTTTTGTTAAGCAAATCCTACCTGGAGCTTTTCATGTTCTTCTGCAAGCCTTCTGAGATGAGCAACTAAATCAGTTGTACACCAAGAATTAGCATCTTGAGACTGGCTTTTATCACTATGTAAACTTGTTGGTGAATCAGATGGAGTCGGATGCATATCAGTAAAGGTCACACCCTTGCCATCAATATGCTTATTTGGTGATCTGCAAGCAGTTTTCTTCAATTCTCCATCTGTATTGTGTACAGATTTCTCCAAACTTTCACTACTCTTAGAATTACCTATATGTGGCTTTGGCTTAAGCAAAGGTTTTCTGAAAACTGACAGGTGTGAGGATTTCGAATTTTGCAAAGTAGATGACTGATTTCTAGGCCCTCTTATACTTCCATGGCGAGTCAATGTACTAGGTACTTGCTCTGTCTTTGGCTTAGATATAGGGAGCCTCAGACTTTTAGATCGAACTAGGGAACTCTTAGATTGGCTAGATGATGAAAGATGAGGAGATGTGGTAGTTGGTTGGTTACCAGGCATTTCTAATCTGGTTTAACTTTTTTAAAGTTATAGAAAACTGAAAAAAAATTTTAATATAAAATTTATTTACTAAAGCATAAATAAAAAATATTGAAAATTCATGACAACTTATTAGATCCTACACAAATGAATAATAATTATTAACACTTAGCAATTTTATATAATTTTTGAAATAATTCAATAGTTTTTAGAAAATATTCTAAAGTTCAAAATCATAAATTTAAACATCAGTTAAGAAATAAAATTACCTAAAATTTTAGTTGTTATAACTATCGTGAACAATTTTGTAAAACATTTTCCGCTTTCCCTGTAGATTGCTATCAAGAGAAATGTAAGGCAAACATTTTTAATACTCAAAGTACATCAGCTATAGTGAAAACTCATACGAAATGCTTCATTACATTTCTTGCAGAAAAACGTTCTTCTATATTAAAACAGTTAAACTATCTAAAAAAATTATTAAAGCACAAGATTAGTTGTTGCACAAAACTTCTTAAAGAATATTTCCTTTTCTTGTGAAATAAAAACTACAAGCATATCCGATAAAGAAAAATCTTACTAAACATAATTTTTAAATTTCGAATAATTCCTACAAAACTATCACAAACTTATTTAAAGAGAAACAATCACAACACTACATCCATCATAAACAAACCGCCGAAGTTCACTGGTTTTTACAAAAAGAGCGGGTTACGGTTTTGAACAATGACATTCAAAATAGGCCACTAGAACAAGGATTTTGCTAAGGGCTAAATTAATGAATTCATAATCGGGTTTCAGTTTCGCGTCTAGACATCTACTTCGGTACAAGAAAATTGGAATTAATTACAATCCAGTTTTTTTCTTATGTCCATTGAATATAAATAGCTCGAGCATAAAACTCCGGGAAATTCGAAAAAGCTTTTCATCATAACCACACATGGAGGTTAGAATATTCTAACCTATTCTAACTTCCTTGGAGGGCGCTGTGATCACGTACGATGGAGGCAGGATCTTGGAAGAGCTCCTGAATTTTCAAAGGTGTTTTCCGGAAAAATCTTCATTTATTTCAAGAAAATTTTCGCGAATATCCTCTGCATTGTCTCTTTCTCAAGGCCGGGAGTTTCTCCTGTACCTGGGGGTCTTGTCTTCCTTGCAATCTTTTGCAGCACTAAGACGGAGCGTTCAGATAAGTAGAACTTCTTTTCTCTAAGCTAAATCAAATATCTGTCACTAAAGTACCTTTAAATTCATTCATTTATTATGATCATTATTATTATTATGCTCATTTTATTATGTTTTGGCATTAAATACTTAGTAATTGCTTTAAATCATGTGGTTCTTTTTTGGTTACCGTCTCGTAAGGACGCTATCCTTATCAGTAGCACTTATCAGTAGTATTAGCCCTACCGCATGTTCCTAAAACGTACTCGCCGTACCCCCTGCTGTGACAATGCTGAATCACTATTGGCTGACCGACTTGCTACGTAAAAAACGTCACTTGTTTGGTCACGTGACAAGCCGATTGCATGGATTCTGAAGTGTTGTTTAAGTGTGATTTGTAGTCTGCTGTATAAGACGTAATAAATTTTGTGTGCATATACAATTCTGAATTAATAATAAACCACTAAAAGGTACAGCTGGTAAAGAATATAGAACACAAACCTCTTCAGACATAACGCTTGAAGTATTTTATTCGGACGGCATAAGATATGTTTACTAGGAAGACAAATTTCGGCAAACAAAATATATAATTATGCAAAAGAAATTTCGTTACCCGAGCATAAAAGTATCTATTATTGTACTTTAGATTTTCAAATATCAGAGGTTGTGATATAATGTAAGAGAATTTTGATTTAACATTAGAGATTCATTTTGAGGGAGTTGGAGCTTGGCATGAAGGGAGTTTTTATTTATTTTATAATAAAACAAGATTAGTTTGTATTTTTGAAAATTTTTGGCAGAAGAACAGTTTAACCTTTTAATATTTCATTGGTATGTTAATATTTTCTGGAACTAAAATTAAAAAATGGAGGACTGTTAATATTTGCAGTAATAACCGATATTCTGAAAAGAATATTGTTTTCGATTATTTAAAAATATAGAGCAACTTCTGATGATGTCCGTCTTTTAAAAAGGTACAAAATGGCAAACTAGAACACTACTTTGTCATTGTCACAAGTAATGTATCAAAAAGCATTGTTTCATTTTTGGATGTGGGTATTCAGTTGCATACTAATTTATCTGAATCACAGGAAAAACATAAGCATTCAAAACTTGGAAACAGTCATTATGGTATTTCTAGGCAAAGTTTGCCATGGTGAATTAATAATTTCAAAAAGTTGTGTAGTGGATTTGTCATTCGGAAAGCACTTTGCAAGGTTGGAATGTGCTCAGAATATCATGGTATGCCTTGAATAATAAGAAGAAATGCTTACCAGCAAGGGTCAGAATTCAGTAGAGCCAGGATTGTTGCCTATAGAGTATGTGGATTATCGCTCTGTGATATCGCCCGTTGCACTAGTCGACATCCAACCACTGTTAAGCGAATATGGCATGTACGGAATGCTGAGGATTATACTGAACGGCATGCAGGATCTCATTGCCGTCCCATATTAATACGCCCGAAAGGACAGGCATATTGTGAGGTCAGCCCTCCAAATTTACAACCACATCACAGGACCATTAGTCAGAAAATGGGCATATTTGCAGCATGCCCAGTATCTGCTCGTATGGTGTGTCAACGTTTGCATCAGCATGGACTATCAGCACAGTGTCCATTACTTTAGCTTTCCTTGACAATGCAGCACAGAGAGAGATGGCTACTGTGGTGTGTCCAACAGCAAAGCTGGATATAGGAGGGGTATAATGTCGTCTTTTCAGATGAGTCCCGTTTCTGTGTGCATTATTCTGATGGTCGTGTAAGTGTCTAGAGGCTCCAAGGAGACCGCACATCACCTGGTTGCATTCAGTATCAGCATAGGAACCCTAATGTGATGGTATAGGCAGCCACTGAGCACATGGCACACACATCTTTAGTTCAGATCGATGGTAATTTGAATGCCAGATCGGTACATTTGTGATATCTTACATCCAGGGGTTGTGCCCTATCTTTGAGGCTTGCCAAATGCAATCTTCCAACAGGATAATTCAAGACCACATGTTGCACATAGTGTTCTAAACCTTCCTAGGTGTATTTGATTGCTGCCCTGGCCTGTACGGTTACCAGATATGTCACCCATTGAAAATACTTGCTTTTGCTGAGGACTGGCCTAGCAACCCTCTCCATCTAATACGATTGATGAAGTGTGGCATGGACTTGAATCAGAATGGAATGAGATGCCGATTTCTGTCATTCAAGTGAAATTCTACTCAGTGCCTAACCGGATAAGGGCCGTTTTAGCTGCCAGGTGTGAGCTGTTGTTTCGGTTCGACTGATTTCGCACCCTTGTAAACCCCCGGCTGCATTGCAAATTTAATCAGTTTTGTCTTCATGCCATACTATTTACGCACAACAAATATTTTTTTTATTTGCTTTCCTTCATGCTATGTAGCAATTTTAATGGCTTATTAGTGTATTATTGATTAACAGTTATCTATGAGACTTCAAGAGTAAGTACTTTACATAGTTTATAAAACTATTGCATATTTCTGTATAAAAAATTATTGATGCAGGAATAGATAGCGCCTAAAGGACTTCGTGCAGCCATCAATAGAGAGTTGACAACACATTCATATTAGGATGATTTTCTTTTATACTTTTCCCAATTACCGATAGATTGCAAATAAAAAACAAAGGGACTTACAATTACAACATAGCCAAACTGTCCTGTAGTAAACATTAACAATATATATAAAGCCAAAATAATTATATTCGCATAATATGTGCATGGCACTTTGTTACTAATAAATATCAGAGTGTCTTGGATCAAATTAATATTTGAACAGATGAAAAATTAAGTTTGACACTATCATAAGCAACTGCAGTTTTTGATTATCATAGAGTGGCAGGGATATCTTTGAAGATATAATTAATAGCATCATTACAACAAGGTGAAGAATAGTAAAACCACCCGCTACTAGACAGTTACAGGATTGCTATATATGTGTACAGTGGTTCTCTGCTTAAATCAGGAATTCTTTATTAATGGGGTATATCTGATAATGTGAAGTGTGCATTGCTGGAGGCTCGACTTACATTATCATCATGTTGGGAAAATATTTTGCATCATGACATAATTTATGTGCGTGATAAGATACATAAAACTGTTTTGAGTGATATCAGCTGTAAATTTAGAAAGACACTTTGTACACTCCCTTATTAAAGTGGCTTTTCCATAGGTCTTAGGCATTGTTTAAGATTACATAAAGCAGTCAAGTTGATTCGTGATGAATTACTAACTCTATCTCAGATTTTATTATACTTATGAAAGCTACAGATCGTGTTTAATAAAAAGCACCAGAAATAATCACTGTCTTATTGACTATCCATTTAGTCGCTCTCATACCATTTGCCGTTGTGCATAATGATATAAAACTAATGCCTTAGTAGCATTGCTCAGTCAACATCATGATATTCATGAAATTTTCTAAGGGGTAAATCAAACAAAAATGTAAGCAAAAGTCTTCTAAAAGATTATCTTCCCTAGAAAATACCAGCCAGATTTAAGACAAAAATACAGCATGTCATCTGAGAAGAAAATAATTACTTACAAAATCATGTTTCCAACACTAATAAAGCACCTAATTATATATTAAAATTTCAAAAGATCTACACAATTGATATTCAACTAAGTCTTGCATATCTATTATTTGGCTCATAAGTAATATGTTGTCTAAAATGAAGTAGTCATATAAAAACATATATATTTTCTTAATGATGGTTATATAAAATTTCTTAATAGAATGGTTTTTCTGAGTAAATGAATTAGAGTTTAAAACAATAAATATAATAGTGCTATAATAAAGCTTCGTAGGACTAAGGCTGGATTTCCTGCTAATTTGTACTTTAGATTTTTTTTCTGCTTTGTGGAACTTTTCTCTTCTTCGTAACATCATGCTTTTAATGTACCTTTAAAAGCTAATTAATTAATTTTGACAAGTATTTTTCTTGAGAGATGCTCTCATGGAAGCTACTAAATGATATTTGTGTCATACCTGCTTTTCCGATTAGAAAATACATGAAAGACCAAGCCAGCCATGACCTGCCTGAAATCAGCGTACAAATGTTTTGTGTCTTTAAATATGAAGCTAGGTTAAGTGATGTATGTTTAGTAAAACTCTTAATCTTTATAATAAAATATATCATAAATATATTATACCTACATAAATATGTATCACAGAACATTTGCTTAGATACAGCTAGGATAACTTCTCTTGTTAATGTTATTTTGCACAGATTTTTTAATCAAAATTGTCTCTAAAGTAATGTGCTATAGATTTGTTTTGAGATTTAGAATGATGTCAGACGAAACTGGACAAACTTATATTTTCCTAGATCCAACTTTTCCAACTTAATGGAAATAATGCTTATCATTACATGAAGTAAAATCTGAGAAGGGAAAAAAAAACTTTTGAAAGCATTTTTAATGAAAAATTAATAACAAACAGCAATACCAGTTTATAGGAATGATGATTTAAGTGAAAGAAATATTAATTAGAAAATATGTAAACTG